CGACAGAAGGGAACAGGAGAGGGTGACGGACTGAAAAAGGATTTGAAAAGGTGCCAGATCATGAGAGCCTTGAAGGCCTTAAGGAGCTCTTGTTCCTGTTTCCTAGGATCAACAGGGTAGCCATTCAAAGTATATGCAGGAGGGGTGAAAGATCAGGTGTATTTGTTTAAAAAAAAAAAAAAATCACCTTGTCTACTCAAGAAGAGTCAAAACCTCAAATGATAAACCCTGGGATAGCAAGGGAGATAGGAAAAGCCCAGAAGCAGCAGGGCCAGGCAAAAAAAGATGGGAATAGCTGAATAATGAAACTGAGTAGTGAAACATACCCAAAGAAGGGTCCTTCAGAGAGAAGATGGCTGGGGGGCTTATTGTTACAGTAACACCATGCATTGCCCAAGACTTCCTTGTTTAAACCAACCTGCCTTTAAAAAATAACTTAATTAAAAAGTGACATGACAGTAAAGATTGGTTCAGGTAAGAATCATGAATAGATGCTAAATCTATGGGAGAAAATTTGATGAGGAGCTAGATGTTTACATGGTCCTAAAGACTGCTTATTAATCGCTTATTAGTTGCTAATCAGTAAATACACAGAAAGAGTGGAACTTCTTAAGTAGGTGATCAAAACAAACAGCACCATGAGGGGAAGACAGACAATGCGTGCCTCTGAACGGGAAAATGTGAGGACACATCATCACTTATGTAACACTTGGCTTGGAATGGATAATCTGAATACAATTAAGAAACATCAAAGAGAAACATTTTTGTTCAAAAATTTCCATGTCAAAAAGACAAAAGAAGGCTGAGGAACTCTTCAAGTAGACTAAAGAGACATGATGTATTAGTTTCCATGAATTTAGTGGCTTGAAACAATACAAATTTATTATTTTACAGTTCCTGAGGTCAGAAGTCCAAAACAGGTCTTACTAGGTTCAAATCAAGGTGTTCAATGGGGCTGTTTCTGCTATAGGAGAAACAGCCTTTCTGTTCTCCTATAACAGAAAGGAGAACCCCTTCTCCAGCTTTTAGAGGCTGCTTGCATTCCTTGGCTTGTGGCCCCTTCCTCACATCTTCAAATCACTCTCTCTAGCTCTCACCCTCCTGCCTCCCTCGTATAAGGATTCATGTGATTAGATTGGACCCACCTGGATAATCCAGGATAATCTATCCATCTCAAAATTCCTAATTTAATTACTTCTGCAAAGTCCCTTTTCCCATGTAAGGTAAAATATTCACAGCATGAGACATTTTTGGGGAGCCATTATTCTGCCTGTTGCACGTGATATCAAAATGCAAATCATGATCCTACATTGGATCTTGTACTGAAGGGAAAAAAATGCAAAGAAAAAAAAAGATAAAATTAAAATACAGCCAATAGATTGAAGTATTTTAGTTACTGCTAAATTTATTGAAGCTGACAACCATACTGTGGTTACATAAGAGAAAATCCTTTACTTAGAAAATACACACTGAAGTATTTAGGAGTAAACAGCCATTATGTATACAACTTAACGGGTTTAGAAAAACAATAAAACACATATGTGCACACAGAAAGTAAGCATTTACTAAAGCAAATGAGGCAAAATGTTAAAAGTAGATGCCTCTGGATTAAAGGGTATATGGGTGTTCTTTGAATATTCTTACAACCTTTCTGTAAATTTGAAATTATTTCCAAATAAAAAGTTAAAAGAAAACTGATAAATATATCATTTATTTTAACTAAAAATTGATGAAGAATTTTTTACTCAAAACCACGAGCAACTCATACTTTTTTTTATAGACATGAGAATGACTGCAGAAGTGTGGCACAAATTCAGCAACTCAATTTTTGTTCTTTCTACAATACTAGCAAATCGAAAGGATCAGAAATGTTGAGGATTTTTAAGGTTAGGAACTTAAAAGAAATCCTAACAGTCTGGCAATATTATAGTTTCAAAGAGTTTAAAATAGAATTGGTTATTATCGTTGGATTTAAATACCAACTGTTTGATCACATCCTGCTATTTGTGAGAGAGAATCTGCTAGGTCATTTTCTAAGAAAGCCCTTAGAAAAGTAGCCTCCTCTTTTCAGTAGTTAGCTGATTTTTAAAACAAAGCAAAAAATAAAGTGTATTCTATTCTAGAGCTTTCTTCTGCCCAGTCCCTCAGGCAGAATTTTATTGCTTTGGCCCCAGAGAATCCTTCTGGTGCCTGTCCTGACTCCCACTCCACCCTTTATTGTTTCAAGACAAAAGATAAGGCAGCTGGGACTCTGACCACTAACAAATAATCAGGGGCCTCTCCACTGGGAAACTGCTCTGGTCTTGGCAGAAACTAACATTTTAAAATGAAGGTAAAACAAAGCAGAAGACCCCCCTGTTTCTGCCCAACGCCCTCTGCACGGGCTTGTTCTTCTTGCCAACTGTGGGAGCCGAGAACAGAGTTTCTCCAGTTGTGCCAAGACGGTGCGCCAAGATCAAATAATAGTGGACTTTTCTCAATTACAGAAACAAGAAAAAAATATGTGGCACTGAATCGGGTTTATTTTTACAAGTTTGGCTCTTGTTATTACCAGCCCACACTGAAATCTATGACTATACCAGCACAAAATAATCTATTTCGTTTTTTTCAGTTTAACACTTGTTGTTTTTCAAAGAGCAGCATGATTTCTTTGAGTGAGCTTGGCAATCACAGGCCTAAATGCTTCTACAGTCGGCAGCAGGGTGTGCCTTTATTACTCACATGCTTCATTTACAACACTTTCCCTCGCTATTGTAATTATTTAGCGACTCACCTTCTGTAACCCAGGGTTAAGAGTCAGATGACCTGGGGTTTCTCTTTAGGACTCTGTCACTTTCTAGTTGTATAACCTTGGGCAAAATACTTCTCCGCTGTAAACCTCACGTGTTATTTGTAAAATAGGAACCATAGTAGCTATCCTGCCTTCCTCACAGGGCTTTTCTAATTATCCAGGGAGATACATATGTTAAATCATTTTGAAAATAGAAAAGCCAGATAATTTCTATAAGCCAGAAAATATTACAAGGCCAGATACTTTTCCCCTCAGTTATTACTAAAGTTTTTGAACATCAGTCTAATTGATGTGTATTTGTTTCTTAAAGTATCTGGTAAAGGGTTGTCTCCATAGTTTTTCCTAAATAAATACTTGCTGACTGAGTGATCAGATGATTAGATTAACTTTCAGACTGCTATAATTTTACATTCCTATTTCCAGAGAACGCCCCCTAATTCAACAGGACAGACATTGACCTAGACTTAAGGATAATTGGTTCAACATGAATATACATGTTCTAAGAAGTTCTAAGGAACTTTAGATCATGCTAAAATGCTTTCTTTACTAAATAAAAAGAAATATGCCTTTGACATTCTCTGGAAATAATATACTTGTAGTTTTTGAAAGACTTTTCAAGCACAACCACTTAGTGATGTGCTTAATACACTTAAACTGGCAATAATTTTGACGGACTAATCCACAGAAATTACTCAAAGCCTAAGACAACTTGCACAAGATGGATGTGTAATAAGTATTTGGTAAATTACAGAAAGATGTCAACTTGCAGAGCAGAGAGTAACCCAGATGGTTTTAAATTAACCATACATTAAGAATACAATACAGTAGTTAAAATGAATCAACATGGAGCAACATGTTACATGTCAAAGGCATGTTGTAAAATATAAGCAAGTTACAAAGTGGTATATGCAGTATAACAGCATTAACATAAACTATGAAAACATGCAAATATCTTATGTATAGATGCATAGTTTGCAGTAAAAGTATAAGAGCATGCAGGGCTACCGTGCACTGTAGGGCTTGACCCAACTCCAGGGGATGCTATTCTCATGTCAAGCCCTGAAAACATGCATTGGAATGAAAAATTCCAGCTCAGAATACTTGTTCTTAGGAGACAAATTGTCTCTAACAGACAAAGTGAGGACTAATGGAGATAGGAAAGGGGCATACAGGGGGCTTTAGTTATATTTATAATGTTTCATTATTAAAAAATTTATTTGAAGCAAACATTGCACAATGGTAAGGTTTGACAAGCTATGTGATGGTTACTCAGGCAATTACAGGATTCCCTACACTTAAAATATTTCTTCATGTATGAATTCTGATACTGTGTAATGAAAACAATAATTTAAATTTCCTGGTTGCAGTAATAAGTATTTATAAACATACCCACATACTTTTATTGTAAGGTTCTAAGAATCTATTGCAGTAATAAATTCTGAGATAAAATATTTTGTGTTCTCAAATTAAATAAGAAAGAGATTTATAATCCAGGCATTTGTGACAACATGGATGGACATTGAGGGCATTATGCAAAGTGAAATAAGTCAGAGGGAGAAGGTCAAATACCGTATCATCGCACTCATTAAGTAGTAGACAATAACGACAACAAACAAACACATAGAGACAGAGATTGGATTGGTGGTTACCAGAGGGGAAGGGGAGAGGGAGGAGGGCAAAGGGGATAACTGGGCACATGTGTGGTGATGGATTGTGATTAGTATTTGGGTGGTGAACATGAGAACATGATGTAATCCATGCAGAAATAGAAGTATAATGATGTAAACTGAAATTTATACAATGTTATAAACCAATGTTACTGCGATAAACAAAAAATTAAAAAAAAAAAAAAGAAAGAGACTTATATAGGACCTTTTCAGATATGAAAAGAATTTACCTAATTTTGCACTCAAGCCTTTTTAGGGGGAGGCTAAAGGACAAAGAGAAATTTGTGTCTAGCCCTGAGGAAGATGATCTTATTTACTTTGGGAGTACAGATCTAAGATATGTGTATTGAAATGTTCACCCATAACTAAAGTTTACCAGTTGCTTGAGGGAAAAAAACTATGCAAGTCAAATTCCAAAGATATCTTCTGCAAATCCTGACAATTAGCAAACTCCTAATATAACTTCCCCTCTCAATACGAATGATCCCATCTCTTTTGTCAGCTACTAAAATGAAAGTCTTAGAAATGTACAGTTTACATACCAAAATGTCCATCCCGGGGACATATTTGAGGGCTATCTTATAGTCTTTTGGAAGATTTGCCACCTACAGAAACCAAAGACAGAAAGAAAGAAAAAAATCCGTGAGAAAAATCCATACATATCAATTAATCATATTGTTTTTAGTGGTTGGTAGAAAAACACATACAAACCTGTTATGTTTTTAAGTTACCAATGAATTTCAATATTTACATATATAGTGATTTTTCATTCTTGATTTCCCTTTGTAATCAAAGGTACTCTCAAAAAATAAAGTAAGTGATAATACAAATCTATTGGACTCCACATTCAGTAATGGGCGGCCAAGTATTACCTACTGAGTTTTGGAAACATGATCTGATTTTCAATTTTCATCTGTGGTCTTGGAATTCCCTTCCAGGACTATTTTCCTACTTCTTCCTCCATTGAATCAGTAATGCAATATATTTTTCTTGTCAGTGGTTCTCAAAGTGATGTGTCAACATCACCAGGGAACCTGTTAGAAATGCAAATTCTCAGGCTGCACCAGATCTACTGATTCTACTTAACAAGGATTCCCGACGATTTCAATGCCTGCTCAAGTTCGAGAACTACTGTTCTATGTTGATCCTAGAAAAAATGTCAGTGAAACTTCAAAAGAACGCTACTTATGAAATGCAAATGCTTTATAACTTAAATAATTTAGGAAGATTCACTTCTGTGATATAACCTAATCCACTTACCTAAGACTGAGCATTTGAGATGCCTCAAATGTTTACCTAGCTTCTATTAAAGGCTTTAAAAAAATACCTAACACATTTCCATGAGTCATCGTGGCATAAGTTGGACACGTACCCAATGTGGAACCAGGGAATTGGGAACAAATCTAAACTCTGTACTTTGGTTTCTCTCATCTGTAAAATGGAGATAAATGTACCAATGTCAGATAGTCAGTGAATGTGTCAAACACATCAATCCATATTCACTCAATCCATAAACACTCAATCCATATTCTTTATTGAGAGCAATATTGGCAACTGACTTCCAAGGCATATATCCTGGTAAGTTACACAGTTCTAGGTTCTCTTGTCTCTTTTTCTAGATATAGCACCAACTCTGTCATCTCACCCTTCTAGCACTGTTAAAATTTCCAGCTGAATAATACAGCCAACAACTGATTTAGCCCACTGGGTCTTAAAACAATATACAATATAAAAATGTCGTTTTGCACTATTACATCTTCAGTGGGTCTACCTTGCTTTTGCAGACTTATTTTCCCCTTCGTCCAGTCTCTAAAGGCTCAACTGTTCCCCATAGGAAGCTGGGATCTTGTGCCTGTGTGCTGGACTAGGTCATCTCTGACAAGTCTCCTGTAAACAATCTATATGTTTCTTCTTGGCCTTGCCAATGACTTCTAGAATCTGAGAACAATTTGGTGAGAAAAGAATCCAGGCAAAGGCATAAGTAGTCAGAGGGGAGCCAAGGCAGTAACTGATCCCATTGTGCTCACTACCATTTGACCTCCAGTGGTACCACCTCACACTCATCTCAGCCTTGAGCCTAACACTTAGCAAATATTTACCATGTGCAGGCATGGGGCTCAGTAAGGGCTTATGTTGCATGATCACATCCAATCCTCAGATGCCTGTGACATATTATCTCTATCTAACAGATGAAAAACTTGAGGCTCAAAGAGGTCAAGTAACTCGACTAAGGCCACACCGCTACTATGTGTTAACTCTGGACTAGAACTCAGGTCTCTGACAGCAAAAGCCTCCCTCGCCTCTTAGCTCCACTACACATTTTCATCTACTCTCTGGACACTTGTCCTGGGTATTTTCCACTCGTGAGGCTCAGCATCATCCCTCCTCATGCCATCCCCAATAAAATAGTAGAATCCTTGCTGCTTACTGAAAACACATCTGGGCTGCCACAGAAGGTGGCATTTTTTGTTTTTAATTTAGGGGCTACTCTCTTGGTCTTTACATTTAACTTTCTTCCTCTTGGTCAAACTTCACACCATACTTCCATAATTTCTTTTGTCTTCTGGATCTTCACCTTCAAGTTTGAAAAGCAAAATGATCTAGTCATTTTGTGTAAACCCTGGTGGCAAAGACACAGCTGACACCTTTGCAGCTGTAAAAGCTGGAATCAGACTGAGTAGCAACATTCTATTTTGCTATGAACCAACCATGTAAATTAACGCCATTCCAGACAGAAAAACATGGCAAGAAGTGGCAGGTGTTCTGAACACAAACTGCTTGACAATCTAGCCCCTCCTTAAGCATAATTTACATAATCAAAAAATAAATATAGAATCAATCGAATTAGTATTCAGAAAACTTAGGATCTGAGTATATATCCAAGGAGCAGAGAAAATGTAAGGGATATTCTGACCAATTCCATTTTATTAGTAATTTATATATAAAAATTGTTCAAAGAGGTCAAAAAAAATCTTACAGTAAGTTCTCTGACCAACACACTGAAATCTCCACACCTTACCACTTGGGAGGTATATAATAAAGTAATTTCTGCATTAAATTGGTTTACTGATATTTTCTGATGGGACTGAAAAGTAATACTATTTTTGAAAAATGCTTTACAATTTATAATAAGTTTGGATATACAGTCTCTACTACAGTCCCATGAGATATATATACTATTAAGCCTATTTTACAGAAGAAAACATGGAGGTTCAGAGGTTAACTGGCATCTCAAGGTCAGAGGCATCAGGAGTACCTGGTGGGGGCAGGATGCAAACCCTGTCTCTGTGTGTTGTCTCAGCACAGTTATCTACAGAGCGGTCTCCCCTGTATGACCTTCTTGGCTTGCATTGGTTCCTTTCCAATTACATTTGGAAGAGAATTTAGGAAATCAAGTTGTAGATTTTTATGGTTGCTTCATGAATTATTATATTACTTTATAAGCATTTATAGTATATTGAATAGCATTCTGAAAACACAGATAACCTTGTGATAAATTTGGCTTCTCTGATGTATATTGATCACTGTAGAAACTGATTGAGTAGACAGAGCCTTTGGTCTGGAACTTGGAAGATGTTCCTTTGAGACAATTAGTTTGCTGTAGAAGTCACAGTACAGGTTCTGGGGACACACTGCTCAGGTCGGATTCAGGCCCTGCCATATGCTAACTCAGAGATCTTGGGCAAGTTACTTAATCTATTTAACCTCAACTTCCATAGGTGTAAAATGAGAATCATGATAGAATCTAGCTAGTGGATTTATAAAGACTAAACAAGGACTAAATAATTTGTTTAAAATACTTCATGCTTGAGCATGGTATGTGAACAAGTATGAATTTTTATTATTATTAAATGCAATGGAGTGGGACATTCTGGATAGAGGAAGGGTCATATGCAAAGACAAAGAAATGGGAAAGCACAAGGTGTGCTTGGGACACCAGGGACAGATAACTCAGGCTCCAGCAGATAAGAGGTAAGAAATATACCAGGAAAGCCACATTTGAGAAGAATCTGAATGTTGGGCTAAGGAGGCCAAATGGGAGGCAGTGAAGTTCAGTGGCACCAGTTCTACCACCAGAACCCTAGAGCAAGTCACTTCTGCCTCAGGCACCTCACTTCCTCTCTGTGTAACTTCTACTCCTCATCTGTAAAATGAAGACGGTAAACTAGATAATTACTGAAGATTCAGTCTGGTTTAAGCAGTGGTACTACGCTGACTGTGTTTAAGCATGGAGAGAACATGATAGTAAATTTAGGAAGATTAGTCTGAAAGGATAGATTGGAGCAAGAAGAGAATAGAGACAGGGAGCAGTTTAAAAGACCTCTAGGAACGTGCTGAACACACGTTCAATATTTATACAGAGATTGGAAGCTGAAAAAGCAGGAACGTGGTTTAGAGTCCAGAGAAGTATCCTGTTGGTAGGGTTAAATGGATAAGTAACCAAGGCTACAGATTTCGAAAACAAATCTATTCTAATAAAATAAGTTCAGAGCAAAAAAAATAAAATAGAGCCCAATTGATGGAAAATTTTACCAAAGGCCAAATTATTCCAATAAGCTTTGTGGTTTGGAGCGCAAGGATGTCAATACTATGCCAGAGTGTAAAATGTATAAAACTGCAAAAACAAGTCACTTGATGATGGGCTCACTTTATTAGGTGGGCCCCATTTGCTATCTTCTTTGGATGTCTTAAGGATTGACTATACTCAGTGACATTGGGGCAGAAAAAAAACAAAACAAAAACGCATACGGGAATAGCATGCGGAAACGCTGGAAACCTGGCCAAGGAAAAGTCTCTGCAAGCCTAACAGGCACTGGCTTCATCCCATTCCCAGCAGGTCTTTGGACTCAGGAGAAGAAGAACTCAGAGTCAGAACATTTAACTCCCTCTCTAGACCACTGACCTCATGATTCAAATGTCACTGAGGTCTCTAAAACTCCTGAAATCAGTGGCTGCTTGGACATCTTTGGTGCAACACTTACTGGTTTCCTTGCTTCTCCCAAGTTCTACGTAAGAATCAAAATGCAGTAGTAACTCATGATTCCCTTGACACTATACATAAAATGTTGTGCATGCGAACCTTTCTGAGGGAAGAGCCCACAGTGTTCAGAATCTCATCAGACCCAGAGAAGTTTAAGAATCAGCACTGTAGAGGAAAAAAATTGTACACTTGAATTTAAATATCCCAGTTCACTCATGTACAGCAGCTTAGTGCAATGTTGGTTGTTCAGCCTTCAGAAATAACACAGGAGAAAGCTTTTTGCTTTTTTAGTTCTCCTAATAAGTCATCTCCTGTTAATACTAACTAAACAGCTAACCAATGAGGTCAATTACCTTTAGTTTTCAAAGGTATGTTGTTTTTTTTTAAAAATAACTCAATTAGTGATTTAAAAAAAATTAAGATGACAACTTCACAAGACTTTTCTATGTCATCTTTTCTCAGTGAATAATACCTAAATAAAGTTAGATGACTCGTCTCCTTTCAAATAGAAGAAATTAAACCATTTTTTGCCTATTTCACAGACACACCTTATGATGATGATTCCAATTAAGTAGTACTAAATGAACTTCTATAATATGATCACTTCCTAATCATAAGATAAGA